ATGATGTTCCAAGGGAGTCTTGATGATTGGTAGACATGTCGACATGAATGTATGCGTGCATTGCCGGGACCGTTTTACTGATGGTATGAGCAAATCAAGGCAGTGGTTCAGATCGAGGAATGCATGGCATGCGCACATAAAGATGCAGCTTGAACAGGACAACAAACATGTGATTCAGCTCCAGAAGTCTCTGTTTGTGCAGATGATGTATAGCTTCTCAGGCGTTTCCCTGAGAACTGCAAAACTTGATACCTGCAGATTAGACTCTTCTTGCTTCTATTGACGACATTCTGCATATTTCAAAAGTTCTGAGCAGAACACGACTGCATGCATCTTACCTAAGATGTTGCTTTCAGAGAAAGCATGATGCCAGAGTAATGAAGGTAGTGACAAAAAAATTAAAATTAAAATTAAATTAATTATACTTTCTTAGATGTTGAATTTTCATGTACTGAGTGGGAATTTCGATCGAGTGAGCTGCACGTGCCTTCGTCATTATAGGGTAACGAATTTCCGGCACATACGGCGTAAGTCCCTATATGACTTAGCTGAGGCTACTCTTTCTTCACTCTGGTTACTAGTGTCAGCGGGGCCAAAAGTTGTGCCCTTAACTCTGACTCGAATCTCCTTACCAGTGTAACTGGTGTCGCTGGCTGTCACTAGCGCACGTTACTGGTATCGCTAGGCTGTTGCAAGCACACGTTACTGGTGTCACTAAGCTGACACTAGCGCTGGTTACCGGAGTTGCTACAGTCTTTCGACTGGTGTTGCTTCTCTGGTTTGCCAGCAGTGCGTGCATCCGTTACTGGTGTCACAGGCATGCGTTACTGGTGTCACTAGACTGCCCTTAGCGTACGTCACTAGCGCGCTGGTGCCACCACTCAAAACGCCGTGGGTCTTCCCGACGCGGTGATCGGCACATCATGACGACGTCGAGCAACGAAGGCCTCAGCGTATAATAAGAGCGGCGTCGTGGATGGACGCTTCGGAACCTCAGGTTGTCCACCTGTGAATTGTGCGTGAATTGTAATGGAGAATTTCTTGTGGAGTGCAGGCGAGGAACGGAGTGAGGGGAAGGCGAGGAACGGAGTGAGGGGAAGGCGAGGAACGGAGTGAGAGGAAGGCTAGGTGAAGAGTGAGGGGAAGGCTAGGTGCAGAGTGAGGAGAAGGCGAGGAGCAGAGTGAGGGGAAGGCGAGGAGCAGAGTGAGGGGAAGGCGAGGAACAGAGTGAGGGGAAGGCGAGGAGCAGAGTGAGGTGCAGGCGAGGTGCATTGGTGATGCAGGCGAGAAGTATGGCGCAGGGTGGTCTAACAGAACTTCTCATTGTAACATTTGAAATCCGAAATTGTATTAACTCATCGAAGCGATCACTAAATAAACAATCTCTGCGTTTAAAATATACATTTACATATTCAATAGGTAACAATTTCATTTCCCGACTTGCCCTCAACGTCACGTTTTAGATGTACTGAGAACCACTATGTAGGCATTGAATGCACGTAAAACGTCAAGCTGGATGTAAAGTGTTTGGAGACAGGCGCATTGAAGGAAATATTCCATACCATGTAATTGAATAATACGCACCTGACGAGAGCCATGGGATCGGTCATTATAGGGGCTTCTCACTTGATTACCTACACCCGTTCGTGTTAACGAGACCCTCGGTAGTTTTTCTTCTTCTATTATTCGGTAAGCTCTTACATGTGTTCCCTCAACTCCTCCTTTGTCATCCCTCGATTGTTTCAACAAGTTTTGTGTCGCGTGGGAAGCAAGCGGGCGAATTGTATCTCTGCATGTCACGAGGGGAGAGCTGTTAATAATAACTGCTTCTTTCAGTGAAGCTTCATGTGTGGAGAACGGGACTTTTGAAATTCAATCTCTGTGTTCCTGTGTTCTCATTGACAATGAGACTTTTTCCTTGTTTTTAAAGGGAGTTCATTGAATGCATGAAATAAATTTTGCTTCAGTTAGTGTAAATCAAGGCTTTTGCTCCCAACATTTATTCAATCACGGTAAAATTGGCCTCCAAAATAGTCCGTGAATTTTGTTGGGAAATTTATATTAATAATTGACCTATTGTCATAATTGACGTATTGTTAGTTTTATTTGAATAATATGATAGCAAGCTAGTTTCCACACGCATATGCCTCAGACAGTGGTTGAAGCTTGAAATTAAAAATTGCATGCATTTCTTTCAGATCGTTGCGTGGTGGCTGATAATTTACAGCGAATCTCGTTTACTGTATGAAATTCTTGTTATAAATACACAATTCTTGTTGTCTCCAAAATTACAATCTTATGTTTTTTTTTGTTCTTGCTGTGCACTGTACAATAGGAACAAAATTACATATCATTGTATAGCAAAAGATTAAGGATGCAAATGCCGAAAGCTGACGTCGTAATTAAAGTACATTGAGGATTTTACTTTTTTTATGAACCTGTGGTATAATATAAAGATCTATTGAAAAGTGCATGAATGATTCTATTGATGTTGTGAAAATTTTCAGACAAAAACTGGGCACTCTGTTGTCGTGTTTGTAACTTAAACTTTGGGGGTGAAATTTGTTTGAAAATAAAGATAAAATATAAATTGTAAATTTGCCGGTATGATGAAAGGCTTTTTTCTGTCACGCCCAAAGCGACGGTGCAAACGTAGCACTAATGAGATCTTCTTCGAAAATGCTTATCCAGCAAATATTTTGCTCGTCATCAATTAATTAGCCAACAAACTCGAGTGGATTTAGCAGTGCTTTTTAATCAGAGCTGCCAAAGCGCAAAGCTGATTTTAACGGAGCTGTTAGCAGCAGCCACTTTTCATTGTTTGTCCGCATATGAAGTATAATATTGGAGCATCGCCCGGTACTCGAAACATTAATGCAATGAATATACTTGCTGATAATTATCTTAGCTAGGAAATGAACTGTGATCGAGGGCAGCATCATTAAACCCTTCACAATGCGCTCCTAAGAGCTTAGCTAACGCGCGACCCTGCCTCACATCAGCCTAATGCAGCGCCTGACGCACTCGTGTACATCACAACTGCCACAGAACAGCACAGAACTTTAGTTAATTAATATTCAGTTTCAGTTGATGATAAGGAAATAGTCAGCATGACTCATTACCGTGATACAAATTACGGCAGAGAATCTCTAATATTTATGTAGACACTCGCACTGCGTATGCTTGTGTAAATCGAAGTCTTCGAGGTGAGCACAATAGAATCCCGGGTGCCTGTGACTACAATTGTTACAATTTTTAAATACGAGAAGGATATGACGTTACTCAACATTTTACCTATAGATAAGATCTTTGGATATTTTTTCGCAGAAAATAAGTGAGCGCAATTTCCCGCATCGTATGACACAGTAGGGATCAGGCTCGCTGTACCCTTCAAATTATGATAATAATCCAAAATGCTACGCTGATTAATCCTTTAAGTTATACATGGCGTAGAGAAGATTTTAGTTGTGAACGTATTTCTCAAGCAGTCAAGCTGAATTAAATTTAATTTTTTTATAAAATAATATCACATTCTTGATAGAGTACATGATCAGTATTGGACATTTTAACCGTTAAAAATCTCGTGTCAGAAAATAGAAAATTTTAAAGTTATAATTCAGTAATAATGATCAAGTTCAATAGCGCTTCGATATTCTACATCTAAGAGAGCCAATTATTATAAATGCTGTGCAACTAACTTGTGCGCAAAGTTTAGTCTTGTAATTCTTCACCTGAAAAATCGACTCAAGACCGTTTGTCAATTCCGAGAGAACATTGTCAAGTCCTTTATCACACTTTGAACAGAATATAATTTAAGTTTCTCTTTCTTCAGGCTTGCTTCTGTTTCCGTAAAAACAATTTTTGTAATAATCTGTAATATAAGTGCATAAACATAGTGTCATCTTTAAGCTTATATTCCATCCATTGTAACTTTCTCTAAATATTCAGTTCGAACGTCACAGCAAAGTTTGTTCATCACTATTGGACATCTTTGCTATTATTTTAAATTTTGATTGGATCCTCGACATTCCTTCGAATATATTAAGGTTCCTATTCATTCATTTCCATTAAAATACATTCAGATAACAGACGAATTACCATCCAATTGCAGCTCCGGTAAAATGAATAACTTAAATCTTCGGGTAAAACTCCGTGGAGTTTTCCGAACCCCGGCCTCCTGACAGCATTGGGTATAAGATGCGTAGCGAAATAATGGTCATGTACGAGAGCCTATTTGCTCAGAAGTATTTTTACTATGTTTTGGTTTCATCATGGAATTTGGATTTAGACCAGTTCGATAACAACCAACTCTAATATCACAATCCCTTCTCCTGCCCACTTGAATTTAATAATTCCAGAATATCTTCCTGTACTTTATTATCCACAATTCCATTGTATATCTTTACAATAATTTTTCCGAATTTCGACGTTTTTTTGTGGAACGATGTAACTTTACATTTAAAGTGAATTAGTGACAGTCCTTTACTTGGTAGTAGAGAAATAAGTATGACGAATTCACTGCAAATAAATGAAACATATATAAATAAATATTCGAAACCATTTTACCAATCTACTTTTTTCTCGTAACTTTGATTATATTCAGAAAAATATTTCAGACTGGATAAATCATTAACTCATCCGTGAATTTCATGGAAATAAAATTCGAATTTTTTTCCTGCTCCGGAGAGTATGTATATTTTTACCGAACTTGAAACACTATAAAATAGATCACTTGGGAAGATTTTTTCGTTTATTAGATTGAATTACTATTAGGTTGAGTCTTAACATATTAGCGTTGAATTATTATATATATTAGATTGAATTATTATTCGGTTGAGTCTTAATAACTGCGTAGGTTGAAAGAAAAGTTTGTTGTTCAATCCTTTATACAAGAAATGATGACATAAGGCATGTTATGTAGTCATGCCACTCAGAGTGCACACCGCATCGTACATTACTAGAGAGTCCACGAGGAAACTAAGGAAAACAAAACGAAAACAATGCCTTGAAAATAATGTTCATACACGTATTGCACACAAAAGCTCTAAATTAATATGCTCCATCCAAATTAAAGGGTTGGAGTTATTCAATATGGAAAATACAAGGCGAGTGAAAAATGTGAGCGTTTTCAAGGTGAAAAAGTTCGAAAACTACACAGATTTTTCTTAATTCAAAAATACATGTTTTAAAAAGGATGACTAAGCAGAGATTCAAGACGTGTATCCAAACTCTTAATCACATTCGCTTCAAGATAAAAAGTTAATACCGAGAGCACCATCCTTGACTGACGCTTAGCATATAGGGTCGAAATACGTCGTGCTACAGCCACGCATTGTGGAACAAAATAACACTTTTGTTATGTCTTAAATTTTTATGAAATTCATATTGAAACACCACTCTAACGTCGTTGTTTTTGTATTTACACATTTTTATTTTAGAGAGTTACTATAACAGATTATCGATTATTAATAAAAATGTTACCAATATGCCCTCATCATGTTCTCAGATAACCAGTTCAAGTTGGTGGACAAAAGTAATAGTGATTGATTCAATGATTGAGCCGATACAAATTCAAAGATAATATTGTAAAGCGGCCTCCTAAAATTTGACACGGACATTAGATTATTAAATCAACAACAGAGGCGCGTCCGGAAATTGATCTTGAGACTCGGATACCACAAGAAGTATGTCATAAACCTATACTCCACCTAGTCAAATATCTCAAAATAAAGGAAACATTCATTTGAAAGGCGACATTATCTTCGAACGACACAGAATTTTTGTGACGAGTACTGGAACATTTCTGCAATTTGAAAAAAAGATGAAATTTAGTCTACTTGAAATAAGGGTCGAATTTCTCTTACATAAAAATGTATGAATTTTTACCAAGTGCTCTAAACCACTGAAATAGAGAATGTGTGAAGAATAAACCAGAGAAGTTTCATCCCTTCAGGGGATCACGTATTTAATGCATTTATTGCATACAGAATAGTGTTTCTAATTGTCTAGTCTAATTGTCCATAAATAAAATGAAACATTCAAATTAATTGCACTGTCTTCGTTATCTGATGATTGCACTCCCTCTACTAATTGATTGATTGCACTGCCACGATCTGGATTTATTGCCAAATTTTTCAGGTGATCTTAAAAAACTCGAGATTAACAGCAGAAAAATGTTATGAAAATAACCGTCATTGAAATAACAGCATATCACGATTGAAAAATGGAAGGAATTAATCGAAGTGTTCATGACGATGAAGTGATTAAAAGGATGTCACTTTTTAAAGCAAGCTGGCGTAGACCAAATAGATCAGCCTGAGATATGGCCAATATATTTACTGCAGAAATTTTATTTGTATGAATTGACAAACGAAATGATTTAGTAAGTACGTAATCGATTACCGATGTATGTAACATTCACTGAATATTACCGTTACCAGCAAATTAGACAAGATTACAATCAGACCACCCAAATATAGAACAACAGCATAAATGGAACACAGGTGAAAGATTAAACGATTAGAAAAAATGAGCCTCCAATTCTACAATTTGTTTAATTTTCTGATTATAATGACTTATGATGCGTTCAGCTCCTTCTTCATTCAATTCATTTCTTAATTAACGCAGGCCAACATTCCATTTAATTCACCGTAAAAAATAACAGCACCAAGCCATAGAGTTTCCGTGGAACATCTAATAAAAATGCGCGCAAGCAGAAGATGCTGTTAGTAGAACTTGCTGGTCAATATTTTGTGGATAAAAATTATACATTTTCTCCGGCATAAATTATCCATGATGAACATATTTTAAAATTGAATTATACCTAAAAAAATTGCACTGAACAATTACATTATTCACAATTAGACAAAGATGCTAGATTTCTAAGAACGTATCACGACGGGAGTGAAAAGTCAGGAAACTTTGAGGCAGCTGTTTTTTGAACTCAAACGCATACTTTCCATAACGAGATGATATAACATTAAACTATCTAATGTGAGGATGATTTAGTTTCACCTTGCACATTCCACCGACTTCCATTTGAAGCTCGTACATCTCTGTGACGTACAATAAATACACTTACACTGGAACCACCCTCTACCTGCCGCACCAGAGCGCACAGTTCTCGGCTTCAACTACGCTTCATTACACGCAATAATTTACACACGCAATTGTCTACGTACACACGCTATTTACATAAAGTTTTCACAAGAAAAGATAAGCTACGTACTTTTTTTTACATTCACAGTCGTTGAAGCTCTTTGTTGACGAATTCAGACAGCGTTATACCCAGTAAAGCGCCAATTAATGAATACAATGACACGAAATTATCAAGATGACGTTGGATTCGATACATCCCTTTCGCATTTTTCGCTTCTCGCTAAGGAATCTGCCAGAAATTCCCGTTTATTGGTGTCTGCTACTGCTTGCACCTGACAAACTTCATTGGTATTTTGTTTATCCATAACCAAGTCTGGAAATGATTTACCTGGAGGAGGTTTCGATTGATGTTCTTCGTGAGTTCGCCATTTATTTTGCAAAGAATGCTTATCTACGGATGATCGATCTACGCCTGGCGCGCCGTGCTCAACAACACTGCTCTCAAATCTCTGAGGCGATGTTTTAGGTTGCATCTTCTCATCGTTTGTTATAGAGCCACAAACTGATGATACCGTAGTGCGCTGCTCTGGTTGCAATCCTAGGGAATTCTTCTCAGTGCGAATGGAGCTTAAGTTGCATTTATTATTGCTTGTTTCTTTGTTATGATTGAGCTCTTCGTCTTTAACAAGAAAACTTTTTTCTTTGTCGTCCTTTAGACGTAATGACTGTAAAGAAGCTTCAGGAAGGTGATCATTTTGTTCAGAAGTAGAGGATTCAAATCTTTTCTTTACATCTGGAGAATCCTGAGACTGGTTTGATATCGCCAATTGCATGACGTTCTTGAAATGACTTTGGACATTTGCAGCTTGGTCAACGGTCGATTCTAGATTGCACTTTATTCCCAAGTCACTGCTAATTAATGTTAAATCCTTGGCTTTATTACATGACTCATTTTGTGTGAGTTTGGATGCATCCAACGACGTCTTGACCACGCATCGGGCATGGCTGCTGGTGTCGTTGACGGAGTTACTAGAGTCTAAGAAGTGTTCCCGCACTGCAGAAAAAGAGGTATTATTCGCCGGCCGCATGGCTTGCAGCGACTGTGACTGGCAATGGAGACCGGCCGGCGGGTACGAGACCGAGACCGCCTTGCGACCGTCCGGGGCGCCCAGGGACGACGAAGTCTCCTCGCCACTCGAGACGTCGCTGGCGCAGCCTGCGCTCGCCTGATGGATAAATTCAACAAGAAAACTTACTTCCCGGTCTAAAAATTCATTGATTTTAATCTAAACTAAGTTCAATGTTGTGTGATTTTGTTCGGAGTTACACTAAATGTTAGCAAGAAATTTCAAATTAATGAATAAATTTGAGAATATCTACTAAATTCTCGACGTGAATATTTCAGACCTGCGATGGGCTGGCGGGGGTGCTGCTGGCTTCAGATATCGTCCTGTTGGACGTCCCGTCAGGCTGCTGGACGAGGCAAACAAACATTAGAAATATTTTATTTAATGGTCTTATGTCGAGATCAACATTCAACAATTATAATAATAACGTTTATCGTCATCGGGTACAAATTAATGCAATGACAAAACACAGTAATCGAAAATTTAAAATAACAGTTTATTTCCTAATGATGTATGAAAATCCTTCATATAAGGTTAACTGTCAAACCTCAAACTAGATTGCTGTCTAAGAAAAAGATTACATCGTTTCAAAATTCATCATTCAAGACGTGTTGACTTCTGAAGAAGCATTAAGAAAAACTTACATTTATTCATCAGTTACATTAACAGGAATAAGAGATGACATCAACAATAGCTGGGTCTATACTTTCAAAAAAGTTAAGAGATCGTAAGTTCATCCGCCAATCATTGACGGCCTTTCAAGCCAAATCCACCAATAATAGACAAAAAAATAGAGCGTAAGTACTTACGTTCATTTAGCGAGTTTTGATAGTATGGCCCCTGATTAATAACTTCAACCGTAACTCCAAAAAATAAATATTCTTTGTGGTAGTGTTCGAGCATGAATTCAGCATTAATTTTTGGAAAATGCGAACCCCTCTGATATCGTCAGCGCTGTCGAACATCCAATAATAAGGCTTAATCAGAAGTGTATGAAGAAGCGATCAGCTAAACGAACCTTGCCATGCACTGCCCCCAGGCCGTGCAGGGGCGCCGCTGAACCAGCGGCGCTTTTGCGGTTTTTGGCGGAGGTCGAATTTTTGAGCTCTGCAGCCTCAGCGTTGGTCACGCCTTCCACCTTCTTCCACTTGGTGCGTCGGTTCTGGAACCAAATTTTCACCTGCCAAGAAAAAAGTTCAACAAATTAGTGACGAGGTCACGTCTAATTTTGTGAATAAGTTAGGCCCATTAGCAATCAAGACGAATATTTTTAAAACTCGGCTGTTACAATATTAATCGCCGATGATTAAAATATTAATTGTACAATGTATAAAATCAACATATGAACATATTTCCGCATGCTCATCAAATTAAAAACATTGACGTTTTTCTGTTGAGTGACTCAAAGAATTATTTTGCGGTCATTTAGATCTTAATTGTCTCATCGGTACTGATATAATCATGGAACTCAGTAGTGCAAACAAAAATTAAAATAATCAATAATCGGAAATTTTATGAGACGTGTTCGAATAGGACTTTGATGCAAACTGTCTATAATAAAAAATACATAACGAATAATTTCCCCCGGCAACATTTAAATATGTCGGATTGTGAAACCAACAGATAGTCTGCTTAACACATGATCCGGCCACTCAACCCTGGTTGACGATAAAAGCGTAAGCGTCGTGGCCGCTCCGTTGGATAATTAACGAATTTTTCCGTCATAAGTTGGTCGAAGTTTTGCGGAATGAGATTAAGACAACACCGGTAACTGCAACGGAAGTTACTTAATGGCTTTGATGGCAGAGCCGAATTTTATGGCCGCATCAAAACGCCGCGGTTCGTAAAAGATGTCAGTATGTAAAACTCGTTACGAGAGTCGCTTAGCAGTCGCTCGATCACCATATTGTTGTATGACTAGAATGTATTCAGAGCTGAAACAGAGAGTTTGATGAAGCAGGTGAATATGAAACGCGAGTTTATCCAGAAGAATCTTCTTAAATAAACACCAAAATAAAGCATGTCGTTCTCGGATTACATAACAACCATCACGCATGAACTTTGTAGCTTAGTTAATAGAATATTGCTTGAAAAGTTATGTTTTTATGGAATAATTTTTTAAAGATTGCGAGCTTAAACCCCGAACATTTTCTCGACCCTTACTTTTCTAAAGTTTGGCCTCGATGATTGCATTAGTCGTGAAAAAATTAGTTCAAGTATCAACGCTAAACTCGAAACAATTCTCCTCAATAGAATCGAATTCAAAAGAAAATTTAGTAGCATTCGAAGTGGAATAATTGTAATCAATTCATCAATCGGAATCGGTTTGAAAAAAAACTGAATTAAATAATGTTACCAATTAACGCAATCGCTGAAGTATTTCCTACGCGGGATATTTTTAACAGTTCTAAGTAATAATCAGAGATGTTAGGAATCAAATATATGTAGTGCAATTCTGGAGATTGAATGTAAATTAAATTACAGTGAACAAGTCTGCAACTTAGGAAACGGGAGGTTCTGTTCCATGCAATAAGGAGGTCTGAAAGTAAATAATAATATATGAATAGCACAAGACCTCACCATTTAAATGTACAGCCAGATCAATGTATAACACGAGATAATTTAGTTAAAAATAAACTCCGTACCGCTGCTTTGCACGAGTTTTTATTCTTAAAACATGAATTCAGATCGATTCTTTGCACGAGTTTTCAACATTAAAAGAAAGCATTAAGTTTGGTTTAATATATAAACATTGAAAGAAAGCATCAAGTTCAGTTGACATAACAGGCGTGAAGCTCAGCGACTAACTGTGCAGCGCTCGGGCGCAAAATGCCCAAGCCGTGAAAAGTAACGCCTGATTTTTGACGACATTTACTTGACATTTGGACCGCAAGAAACTTCTGTCAGCACATTAAAGTATCACATCGCGTGTGCGTCACGCCATGCATCAATAATAACTTCAGCCTAAAAGCGACATAACTAATAATGAACTTTCACCAGAAAACTATTAGCTGAACTTGTTTTGTGCAAGTATGGCGAGCGGAATTATAACATTCATTGGTTTCAATAAATACTCATCGATGAGATGAAAATACCTGTTAACAGTTGAAGCTGTTAATAGTTATTCGTCCAAAACTTATAAATGGTTTTGCAGAGTTTAAATTAATCAAGTCGTTGAAGCATCGCGATAGCTCATTGAGGTTGGAACAACGTTCCATTAGAATCTACTCTCATGCAAATGAGGACCGGCGGCAAGAAATAATTCATCTTACAAAATACTAAAGAATAGAAAAAATAAACTCGCACTATGAGGGAGCTAGTTTCACCGTGCAATCCGCCACGTATTTAATACGAAATCAAATATCTTCGAGTACACCGAGACTACCTCCGAATACTATATGGCAGCGATCGAAGTAGAGTAGAGTTATTTTTCATAAAATTATCGAGACGAATTTATTGAATTATTTTAAGAGGATGTTTTATGTTAAGAAATTACCTGTTTGAGTGTTATTTGTACACTCACCAACAACATATCGAGCATGAAGACACTTCCTCTTTTTTGTCAATTTTTTTCCAGACATTCCAATTACTCCCTTAACTGCGGGGTTACGCAGAATAATCTCCCCCTCTTTGTCTCCCTAAACACGGGGACACATAAAGTCTGTCTCCATCTTGATCCCACTTTGGTGTAGCACCATTTCCCCTCCCTCTTGCAAATCAAGGATTTTTGCGAAGTCCTGTGAGCTCCTCATAATCGCAGGACTCCTGAGCCTCCCAGGGACCCGTCCCAGAATGCTGATGTGCTCATTTTAGCTGGGAACTCATTTTTGGATAATAACTCATTTATGGCGAGCCACAAAAACACCGACGCATTAAGAACGCGTAAACGTGGACGTGATCTGAACATTCTACACGACGCCGTGCTTCCAGAACGATTATTTCGACTCGATGAACAAAGGCGACACGGCAGTGCATGGCTGAGCTCATTCAAATGCCTATATCTTCAATGTCAAATTTGCAAGCAAACAGGACACGTGCGGCCATATATTCCTGCTCGATATTTCAATACATTTTGAAGCGTGGGAGCAGTCGCAAGTTGAGCTAATTGGAGAAAAATCAATGGGTGCCACGTTCAAAACTACGTTAATATTTCACTTAATAAAATATCTATTTGGTCCTATTTTGCAATAGATGAAGGTAATATATTCAACATGAAATATCAGCACATTTTTTCGAGTTACAGTTGCGAAATTAGAAGCCCCGGGGTCCAGGAAGCATTATGAAGCTACATATAAACGTTCGCTGATGATCTTATTAGCACGCACGCCAAGTCTACACGCAATAATTGAGGCAATCGATCGATTTGCTGCGGTGCACGGAGGAGGTTTGTTTGGGCAAGAGATAAGAGAGATTAGCAAGTTAGAGAGTTGCAGGCTGGCCGAACATATGGCAGGACAAGAGCGCCGAAGCGATGTCGTGGAACGGCCACTCTTGTACACAAGAGTTTTGTTTTTACTGGCCTCAGCCGCATCGTTAGGAGAGCGATCGCTAGATTACTCTTAGCTTGGGCTCAAATAATGAGAGTTTAATTGCGCCCAAAAGACCTAATTAGAGCGGTCGTTATGACTAGAGTGTTGCAGAAGAAGAACCTCGTAAAGTGGGTCGCTAAGGGACGCTTCCAAGTGACTAGCAGGAGACTCTTAATAAAACAGACGCCATCGCCATCATTGAACCTTTGCGGGGCGTTTATAAAACGTGCCACAAAAAACGCCGCTTAAAACGTCTCATTAAACTTCTTAGAACAAAAAACTCTGCCCTGAATACAGGCTTCACGACTTTAAACACGTTCATTTGAATGATAAGCGAGACGAAGTTAAGCCACCAAGCAGTGACGCATGCATGCGGTGTTTTTAAATGCAGGTTAGTCACGTTCACTTCAGAGTTTTGCTGTTGAAAGTAAAGCAAAGCTCGTGCTTCGTCATTATAGCAGCTGATTGACAGCTCAGTCACCTCCCTGTGGCCTCGTCCGCTGCACTACATTTAAGTGACACGAGGAGATGCAGAGCTCGTGGAGGAAATTCTTCTCCGCGGAGAACGAAAGTCAGTAGAGAAATTAGGCAGGAATATTGAAAAGTTTTCGCCCGAAAATATCTTACAAACTGGCACGTGATTCAATGTTTGACTTTAAGGTAATATTAAGGTAATTTTTCAATAAATTTGTATGTAGGAATAAGCGTAAATTAAATTTATTGATAAAATAACGATATTAAATGATACATGCAGGTTCAAATGCCAGGTATCAACCATTTGTGAGAGATTTGGAAATTGTATAACGTTATTGTGCATTTGATCCTTGGTGTTACATCGATTTACGATGGAGCTCACCCCGAATACGCATTAAAACACCATACATGTTTGGATACTGATTTAAAGGTTAAACGACACCGTTTGTGATAAAGCCATGGCCACGTTAACCTTTAGGCTGGCAAGCAATTTATTCTATAGCACGCGGAAGATGATCGTCTCTGGAGACGAAGGGGTGTGGGCTCCTGAGACAGTCGCCTGTCATTCTCCTGTCACGTTGCCGTCACTGCAGCGACACACGGAAAGCTACGTGTGAAATAAATCATCCACTGCGTTAAGAGTCTAAAAGCCGACACGGCTTCAAATAATCAAGAGCCCCGCGCAAGCCAAATCAAAAGCTCAGCGGCTGCGCGCTACTGAATGGAACGCAGGACAAGCTGGAGCATTTCATCAACTGGGGGGACTATTGAACACTTGATCAACACTATTACTGTGATTAATCAAATGCTGTACGAAGTCTACGCTCCATAGGTGAGTTCATAAATGAATTTAATCTCGGACAGTTTACATCAATTATAGAATCAACCTAAAGAAAACACGCAAGCAAGTAACTTGTGCTTCAGGCTTAACAAAAAAATTTATTTACCCAAAATTTCGAAAGAATTTATTTCAAGCACTAATTTTTAATAAACCACACCAACTTCTACATATATTGGAATAAATTTTCTCGCGATACCAATTAGATTTCCATAAAAATTCTCACTTGTGCACTCAACTTTGAAAAAAATAACCTGGACAAAAGCATCCGACTCAGTGTGACCGGAAGAGGTCCTGTCTTAATCGATTAAAAATCTAGGTGTTCACACTGTGGAGGAC